AGGAAGGAAGGCCTTGACCCTCAATTTTTAAAGCTTGCTTGATTAAACTAAATCATGAAATCTATGGTATTCTGGCTAATCCTCCAGATTCACTGAATCTGGAGTTCAGAGATCCAAGAAATAATTTTCTTTTACTTGACCTGAAACTTCTTTTTTCTTTTTTAAGACAATTCTTCAGCTCACATGAGGATAAGGAATTTGTAGTTTGTATAATAGTCAACCCTCAGGTGGTTATGAATTCTGCTAACTTCTTCATTTATAGTTTCTTAAGAAGGAAGCTTCAGAACGGACAAGCCTGGCATTGCCATCTCAAATCAATGTAATATATTTGTCAGAAACGAAGATCATGAAAAGAACTAGTCAATATTCTTTTAATAAATTGTCATTTATATATTTGTTAGCAAATTTGATAAAGTTTACAAGGGCGGGCATGGAATTGCAGAAAACAATCCACCATATACACTCGCTTTCCTAAATGAATCAAGTTGGTTAGCCATTTTCATACATTTTATATCATATCTTTTTATGAGCTTTGCAGGTTCCAGGCGAGTTCAATGAAAGCTTCTTTGCTGCAGGGGATAGTCAGAGCACCCATAGGGATTAAATCCATACTCTTCTTCAGCTTGACTCAGCAAATTCTGGAACGAAGGATGCTTCAGGAATGATATCCGGACAACGAATCTCTTCTTCTCAGATTCTCTAACATAAACAGAAAAGTGGCCTTTAGGCACCATTGTTGCGTCCGAAGATGAAAGTGTCCGTTTTAGGCTCCTCTTAGCATTAGCAATTCTCAGCAAGTGGAAACCCATGACTGTTTTGAATTGTGATTGTTTTTCTTACAAGTACTGGACTGGCTAGGAATGGCTTAGGCAATTGGCACAGGTGGCTGGCTATCCATTAGAATTTGTATTTATAGAGAAGCAAATGATTTATGGTCATTGGTAAGCAGCCTCAGGCAAATTGAGTGAAGACTGAAGAGAGAGTGCTTTAGAGGCATATTGTGAGGATTCATATGGCCTTGTGTCCCAACAAATAATAACATCATTTGACAAGTAGGTACATTAGTCTATACTGTTGCAACCTATTATATAGCTCACAATTCAATGTAACCAACATTAATGGCCCATTTTAGATAGTATTTATCATTCAGCCATTGCCAGATGATACAAATAATCGTATCCACTAGCTACTATGAGTCGGTATTCAGAGCCCTACATGTTTGGTGACTCTAAGGTCAAAGACTTGACCTGCTTGTACAGTTTGTTCTGTATGAATATGTTGAACACAAGATGATACAAGTTAGAAGTCCATGTGACATTGCTCAACAACTTGAAAAAGTAAGTGTCTGGTGATCTGAGGAAACTTTGGTGGGTGAAATTTTGATTTTAAAGGATGATAGGTTGAAAACAAACACTAAAACATCCTTGTGATGATGTTACGCCAATTAGTTGATTCTGTCTGAGACGACTGAGAAAGTTAGCTCTTGACCAACCATGAGTATCGGTGACTGTAATCAAGGCACAAGTCAACCATCAAGTAATTATGACGTGCAAACCCCTCCTCGATGCTGAAGTGTCTCGGTACATGGCATATTCATAGTTTCCTAGCTAACCAATAGATTTCTTGGATACAACAAACCATGGATGAGGAGACGAGAGAAAACGAGAGATGATGGAATTCTATTATTCTATACACACGAAAAAGATATTAGAGTTTGTATCATATCTGTAAAATTATTAAGTCTTGACTTAATTGATTTTCAGCTGCTTAAAAGTTAATATGTATAAAGCTTTGAACAACAGGTAAAAAGATTTCTGTATAGCAATACTTGGCATAGGTGTATTGATATTCTAAAGTTTCTTTGACCAGTAAATGACAGTGATTTAAGTGTTCAAGATAGGGTCTCACTTTAAAGGGATTTGTTTAAGGTCGACATGTATCATGAATCACATGGATATGCCTTCCACTAGCTATATTGGTAAGATTTCCACAGATACGCTAATATAACTTTTGCAATCCTAAATTCTCATGGCCTACCAATCAATAGAAAAAAAAATGTGGTCCAGCCGAAATTCTCATGGAGTTTATGATTATAATGCATGTGCAAGTCCAACATATCAGTGAGTGAAAGTTTGAAAGAAAACTGCTATAGACTGTATACGACATGCAGACCATATTATTCATTATTTTGAAGATTTACTGCTTGGTTGTTACATATTGCTAATGGAAACGTTGGTTTTTTAGCTTAATGAAGTCAACTAAGAAGATACTGGTGTTGGTGCATGCATTCATGTGTTTTCAAGTGTCTTCGAGTGGTGGTTTGACTATGGATTCAATAGCTGAATTGAGTGTGAATTGACCAAGTTAGTCCTGGATCCCAGTCTTAAATGAATGGATGAGGATGATTCTACTACCATTACAAAAAGTTAGGTGATTTTCAATGGTCTCAAAACATCGCTTCAGACAAGTCTTGGTGATATAGAGGATCTGCAATAACCCTCAAAAGCATGTTGGGTAGTAGGTACTAAAGCAAGTAAGGAACAAGCGTCTAAGTTCAATGCTTTAGTGAATAATGGAAATGAATCTTCAATAGCCTAGGATCAAGACGAGTGTTTGTTGAAAGCAGTGCGTTTATAAGTTCAAAACATAGGGAACTTAATATTCACATAAAAATTTCACAAGTTGCCACTTTCTTTTAAGGTGGTAGGGCATAATGCGTAGCACCAGACAAAGCAGAACCATGTGAAACTCAACTAATTGCTTCACCTGGTATGTTTCTAATTATTCTTCTATAACATATCACTATCCTATCCAGTTTCTTTAAGGTTTGCAAATTGCTTTTATCACATCTATATATTAGGCTTTAAAGATGCAACTTTCGAAAACCAAGTCTTCAGCCTTCAAAAAACACCAAAGCTTTCTTCTTGTTTCTTTGTGCTATCTATTTTCTTCAGTAAAACGGGTATTCAACTGATGGGATTAGCTCATGCAAAACAAAAGCTCCAGCGAACGCTTTCCGGAAAATTTGGGAATGCAGCACCACTGGGAACATCAAATGTTCCTGAAGGCCATATTGCAGTTTATGTTGGGGAAGGCAACCGGCAGAAAAGGTTCGTGATTCTGGTGTCTTACTTGAACCACCCTTTGTTTCAAGCCCTGTTGAATCGAGCCGAGGAAGAATTCGGATTCAACCATCCAATGGGTGGCCTCACAATTCCATGCAGTGAAGACTACTTCATCAGTCTAACTACAGTATTAAAGTGTTCATAGATGCTTCCACCACCAACAAAGGATGGGAAAAAAATCATTTTCTTGGCCTGTAAACATACTGTAATTTGTAAAATACAGAACACAAATTGTAGGGCAATGAGATTTTAATTCTTTGCTGACAACAAAACCTGTTGTTCTGAGCAACTTTGCTTGAAAATCAGATCAACCATTTCATTTCATTTTTATGGAAAATTTAAAGGTATTAGTCGATTAGATCATATTAAAAAAATGGCCAAGATTGCATCCACTAACAACTTTGATTTCTTATTTAATCCCATAAATAGGGTTGTAAAGCTCTTGTTACAGTCATGAAACTAATAAATCTTCATCAACGCAAAAATGTTCTCATATTATTAAATTATAATCATAATGTAGCGTAACGATTAAATAATAATACATTTTCAAAATTATCATGATATCGTATTCACAATTTAAAAATATAATTACTTTTAAAAAAATAAATCACATTATAATATCTGCAATTAAGACGTCGTATCTGCATTTGCAACCGTAAAGGAGTCCTCAAGGATTTTGCATGCATGGACATACTACAACTTGGAGCTAAAGCAATACAGAAAAAAATACTACTATAAGGAAGATCGCCCACTGGTTTCCACATCGAAAAGAAGCAATAATTTCTCTGGTGCGTTTGTTGCAGATTCCTCATGTCAGTAACTGAATTAAATGCTTGGAAAGTTGAAAACTGACTTCAACTTGGCATACGATTTATTGTTCTTTGCAACTGCCGCCCTTACTTGTTGGCTGTTTGCATTCATATATGCTCGATCGAGCTTTTCTTTTTAGATGTTTATCCAATTCTTTAATAATGTTCGCATTTAAGAGCCAATGCATGTAACGCTGAAATCGGTGCCGAGATATGGCGCGTTGGTTGAAGTCGGTGAGTCGTCAGTTCATGCATGTGCTTTTCAATTGTTTTTTCCCCCCAAAAAAATGGTCATCGAATTCGCCGCTGCTATCCAGTACTGCAATTGCTGTCTTACTCCAATCTCCATAATTTTTATATTTTATTATGATACAATATTTTTGTTTTGTTTTCGTTAATAACAAGATCAAAACAACGTCGTTTTAGTAAGGTATTTATGTCAATAGCCATCAACCACGTAAACAACCGTCAGTCACGTCATCGTGACATTAATGATTAATAGTTTAGTGGTATAATTGAAATAAAAATCAAAGTTTAATGTTATAATTGACAAAATTGAAGGTTCAATGTTATAATTGACAAAATTAAAGGTTGAATTGTATAAACGATACAATACCTAAAATTCGATTGTATCGGATTAAAAAACACACTTTGAAATTAGAAAAGGAAAAAACTAGATATTCCGTACATGCTAAGAATATTTTTGTAAAATCTTATGTTTTAGCATATTATACTTTGGTCAGTGACAGCTTAATTTGGACCAATCCCACTTATCATTAATTACCAGCAGTTGAAAGTACCACAATGATCAACAAACAAATATTGCATCGCATGGCATCGTTAATGACCACGTTGGTCCGAGTTTTCTCGGGTACGGCCCTCTGTTTTCTCGAACAAAACTGCTAACCCTAGGTGGTCTTTTGCATCACTGGTCCTCTAAACACAATTTGGGGTCTCTCCGAACTCTATAAATAAAACCCGAGTTTCAAACCCCACAAAACTCACGAGTTCAATATTACAATTTGATTGCATTTTCCCTGTTGATTGATTGGAATCAGACGCTGTAATGGGTGTTCGTGTACCGTCCATGATTGCCGGCGCCAAGCAAATTCTGAAGCTGCAGTCTCATAGTATCACGAGAGAGACACAAAGAAAAAGGTTCGTGCTTCCCATATCGGTGTTGAACCATCCTTCTTTCCAGGATTTGCTTAACCGGGCTGAGGAAGAGTTCGGCTTCCATCATCCCATGGGTGCTTTAACAATTCCCTGCAGAGAAGACGCCTTCTTAATTCTCACTTCACGATTGCAGGCCTTATAGATGCCCACTTCACAATTTTGCTTCCTTTTTTTCCATTTATGAAAGAGAAAAAAAAATGTAAATCAATGTAATGTATAAAAGCTTCAAATTTATCAACAAAATTATGTTATTTGATCTGAGGTCCATTCTAATTTTCAATGTTACGGGAAAAATATGTATAATTTATTTGTTTATGCATACTTAAAATCAAAAGGTTGAAGATGAAAATAAATATTCGCTTGAAGTTTAATTTAAATAATAATAATAATGTCTTCTACCGATAAAATGTACTTAAATTCTTGGTTTCAAAAAACTAAGATCAAACCTTTATAACATCAAAATGAAATTTAGTTAAATGTTATATAAATTTTAAAATAATGTCGAATTGCTATGTTATTAAAGACTATTTTTGTTAAATTGGGAAGTTGCAAGTTCTTATCAAAACTAGAAGGAAGAAAATTCTATTTACACATAGGCATATAATTTGAAAAGGAAAAAAAATTGGGGATACAGTAATTTTTCTAACTTAATCTTTGAATTCCTTTTATTCAAATTAGTCTTAAAATTTGATAATTTTTTAATTCAATCATTCAATTTGGATTCCAACCTACATTATTTTGCTCTAATTACTACCTATAAATAGTAGCAAGTTGCTTTGTGTCGGTGAATTCAACTTGACGGGTTAGTTACTTCAAAACGTTATCCTTGAAGTGAATGAAGAATTTTGCAATTAATGCATGCGATTCCAATGTCATGACTACTTGCGATAATTAATCTAAAAATATTTTTAAAGACCGACATATATTGATTAGTAACATAAAATTATTGAATGAGCAAACATAATTAATATTTCAGAGTGAACACAAATAAAATTTTAGAGTAAATACTATCAATAAAATAAAAAAATTAACTAAAATAATATTTGAATTTCAAAATTAATACGTGCCCAACCTGAGAAATATATGGCTCCGCCGCTGCCCACGTGAATCTAATCATGCAGTTCAGTACACACATGTACGTGTACATGTGCCACTCAATTTATATAACTCAAAACTTGCAAGCTTTCTGCACCCAACATTGATAAATAGTAGTGTTTTGAAAACCGGATCGGATTGGTCGGTTTAACCGGTTCAATCGGGAATCGTTGCTTTGTCCGGTCCATTCTATCCATATTGAACCGGTTCTAGTGAACCGCAAGCAACCGTTCAAATCGGCTTTGAACCGCTCGAACCGGACCAGACCATGAACCGGTTCAACCTAAATTTTTTTTATTTTTTATTAAATGTTTTTAGTATTTTTATTTAATTTTTTAAATAATTATGACGTCGTCTGTTTCTTACTATCGGTCTGACCGATTCGACCGGTTGAACTAGTGAACCGATAGCACGGCCGATTTACTGACCGGTCCGATTCTAAAAACCATGGTAAATAGAGACGGTAGACTTTATAATCTTTTCAAAACAGATTTATGCAAATTAATTAGGTCTTCAGATTATTATTCAATGAAAGAAAGTAAAAAGCCCATGCCCCCATGAAGCTGAAGGAGCAAGTGGGTCTGTTTCGGCTTTTTGCACCATAAAATTCGGGAAATTTAATTAACAAAGTTGAGTGATCTCAGCCATGTGGACAACTGCAAACCAGCTGACGAAAACAAAACTCACCGTGTATAAATACATGCACCAAAACAAGCTTCCAGCTTCCAATTCCAAGCATTTCTCTCGCTTTCTCAACACAACAATACCAACCTCCTTTCAGCTTAAAGTCACCTTCGTTGATCAAATATGGGTTTTCGTTTGCCGGCGATGATCCAAGGTTCCAGGCAACTTTTGAAACACCATTCCAGTTTCTCTCGGAAACAATCCGATGTTCCCAAAGGACATGTTGCCGTTTATGTTGGAGAGGCGCAACGGAAACGTTTCGTCGTCCCGATTTCGTATTTGAACCATCCTTCCTTCGCCGTACTGCTCAACCGTGCTGAGGAAGAGTTCGGTTTCGATCATCCGAAGGGCGGCCTCACGATTCCGTGCAAAGAAGACGCTTTCATCAGTCTAACGTCTAAGTTGCATGCATGCAGTCCTCATGAATGATGATGATGGATAAGGGAAGCCGTTTCCCAAATTGAACGCATTAACAAATGAAAGTTCTTGACCATCTAAATATCCATTTTTCATGCGTTTATTGATCAAATTCCTGATTTAATTAGACATGGATAAACCGAGCCTTGAGATATGATTTAAATTTATTTTAATTTAATTGTGTAGTTTTTAAAAGAAAATACTTACGTCTTTTGTGCCTGTAATTAATAAAATGTAAAATAACCTTATATGTAAGTTGATATTAGTAACTGAAAATGAATTAAAATAATATATATAATTAAAAAAATACTAAAGATTCAAAATATATAGACATCAAATCAAAATTTATATTTTCCTTCAAATTTTGTTCAAAGCAAGGAATCAAATGAAACAAAATCCATACGCAGACCTTAAATTCAATAAGGATCCTCGGAGTACCAATATTCCACGCACGGCCTCTTGTCCAGGACGCACTAAATAGAATAAACTATAGTCACTTAGTTTTTAATGTGTTTTATTTTCATTAAAAAAACCTTTTTTAATTTAAGCATAGTTGTTATGATGGTTGTTTATTTAGAACCTAAACATTTGGGTCTGTTTTAGTATCTAAACTATCAGTTGTTTTCAAACTTTAACGTTAAATTTTGAACAGAAACATTGAAATGAAACAAAAACTAAACTTGAGGTATAGTTTTAAAAAAATTGAAAGTTTAGGCATAAAATTGACCAAAACTAAAAGTTTAGGTACTAAACGCATAATTTACCCTTATTTTAATGCGTTAAATTTTCATTGTTATTATTGGTAAATTATTCGGTTAGGCACTCAATTTTTAAAACACTTTCATTTTAGTCACCAAATTTAATTTTTTATATTTTAGTCATTCAATTGTAAAAAAAATTAATAGATGTTCACGGTATTTTTGACAAGATAAACTTACTTTAACCTATCACGATAAATCCATTTTGACCCAACTTCAAACTCTTATTAGCCTCTTTCCCAAGCTATTCCTATCGACTATTATCACAGCTCCATTTAAGTCACTACATTGTTCGAATCATTGCACCCATCTGTCCCCATTCGTGACCAACTCCATCAACCACTGATAATAACATTATTGGGTAGTTCTATCGTGCGGTAGTCTTAATATAGGTTAAGGAAATGCGCTACCAGTTTTGTTATTATTTTTTAATATTTTTCGGTAAAAAATTACCTAAAACATTATTATTTCTATCTAAACATTAATGTTTTTTAACATTTCCGGTAATGTGCCCAATAATAACAAAATCGGTAGAAAAAATTAATGTTTTAAGTAGAACTTTACCGGATATGTTAACAAAACCAATAAAGTGCCCAATAATAACAAAACCGATAGAAATAATGTTTTAGGTAATTTTTTACCGGAAATGTTAAAAAAAATTAATAACAAAACCGGTAGCTTCTTTCTTTATCCGTATATTAAAGCTGTCGCACGTGAGATTTCCCCAACACTATTAAAAAGTATCATAAAATACTTATTGTTGGAGGTTATTTATTATGTTGCCTTTTGATTTTCTATGATTTTCATAATGTCAAAGCATATCTAATTAATTGTAGTGGACAGAGGCGGATGCACTAAGCACATAGAGGATCAAGTGCATCCTCATTATTTAAGAAAAAAATGTGAAATTTAATTTGATATGTTAAAGCAAAATGGAAAACATAAAAATTTTTGCATACTCATTATTTTTAAGAAAAGAAAATTAAAATTTTGGACATCCATTCTTAAAATTCTGAATCCACGACAGGCAGTGGAATAGTAGATCCCTCATCTTCTAGGACACTGTGTGGTATATAGGGGTGTTTGACAAGAATATTCTTGTTAATCATAAACATATTCAATCAATTTGGAATTTGGCGTTTTTGGGATCAATTTTTTGGACTTTATGGCTCTGTCGGAATGAGGCTATTTACAACCTATGAAGCACATGGATGACAAAGGAGTCCGTTTCAAGTACCCGATACGTTTTCGGCACGGGGACAGTACGGAGACGGTTGGGGTACGTACTAGGGACGTGTCACGGTGGTAGGGTACTGGTGATTGAATTCGGGGACAATTAGAGCTTATTTGGAGACGTTTCGGGGATGTCACCAGGGGTAATTTTGACTGCAACAGGTTGCGAACAGCGGCGGCACGGTGAAGAATGAATGAGCGAGGGCGGTTTTCTGAAAATAGAGAAAGAAAGAAAAAGAAGCGATGGGTGGGGGAAGAAGAGTGAGAATAGTATTTAAATAAGTTTTGGTCTAATTGCCAGTTGATCCCTGAGCTTTCTAGGCCTTTCGAATATGGAAACAAATTTTTTCATTATTTTCAAATTGACCACAAAAATTAATTTAGGGATTTAGAAAAAATTCTCAAATGTTAGGATTTTTAATTAGATTTAAATTAGGGTGTTACACTAATTTTATAAGAAATATTGAATTTATTTATGATTACTTACTTCTATTTATAATTTTAAATTTTTTTATATACCCTTACAGTCCCCGTACCCTATAATTTTAGAAATTGCCGTTTCTCGTCCCCATCCCCGTCCCGTATCCGTATCCGTGCAACATAGTTTACAACAACCAAAGTTGGACTATTGAACAAATCCTGCACTTGACGCTGCTAAGAATTGGTTTCTGGATTAAAAGCAAGTAGCCTGCTGCCTGCTTTCATGTTGACGATTTTGTCATATGTCCTAATGTATGTATAATCAGAGTGTAACTTGTTTGCTTCTCGCGTCTTCTGGTCCCGTGCTGGTATTTTTCTTGTCTACCTCGTTTTGTTTTTGGTTTGGCTATCAGCGTCGCTGCTCGTTGTTTTTGTGGATGCTTTCGATAATTGGTTCAGGTTGTTAACAGAGGTGTCTGAGGTTGAGTTTTGATGGTTTAGTTTCTAGCAACTGTTTGTTTATTTGAGCGCTTCAGGGCTGCTGTGTGGGGTTGTGAATGAGACTTCTTCATTTCTTTTGGGCGTTTTGTTAACGTATCCCTGTGCGAGCAAGGAGTCTTTCTTTGGACAGAGATGCATCCTTAACAACCGTCCTGGGTTTATAAGTGGTGATTCGTTGTTGCGGTGTCTCTATCAAGGCTGGTTTTGAAATTCAAAGGGTCGCTCTTAAGTTGTGTTGTTCTTGAAGGTTTTTAAGAGCTTATGGTTTTTGTGTTGGGGGGCTACAAAGCGGGTGATAAAGGATCCTGAGAGGTGGGGATCTGGTTTTTAAGAGCCTATAGTTGTGATTTTGGTTTGTTATGAGATTTATCAATAAGATCCTTCAAACCTTCCTTTTCAAAAAAGAAAAACTGTAGTGGTTTTCTTTAGCTTGCATGTTTTGATACTTTATTTGATTTTTTTAATTTAATGTATTTCTATTTTCTTGTGCATATATGTATTCTCCTTTTGAATGTTATTGGCACTTGAATCTCAAATCTTTTACAAATTCTGACGTCTAAATCTTTAGACAATTTAGTTATTATTTATCGTTAGATCAAGACTTTTCGCATAGTTTTATTAATTTCATATAATTCCAAAAAAATAGTGTTTATTGTGTTTGTTTAATTTTAATAAGAATATTAGGAAGAGCAAAGATGTTGTAGTTTGGTTAGCTTAGATGTGGAACTAATTAAGATTGTTATTGGTAAGCTTGAAATTACATATTTATGAATGTAAAGTTATAGGTAGAGAATTAAGAATTATAATTCATGTACCTAAACATTTTAATTTGCTATATATTTTAGATTTTATTCATGTATTTTTTTATTGAAAATTTGTGTCGAAACAGTCTTTTACCCGATGGGGAAAGAGGTCAAATTGAATCCATTTCCTTTCATGACTTAGTTCTTTTGCCCCTTGTTGGACAGGGTTCTGCATGGATGACCCAGTGGCTTGAGGTCGGGACACAGTAAAGTTGTTGGATTCATACTTCCCCGCGTTACTAACCTCACTATCATTCCATTTTACTGGTGGCTTCCTACTGTATTCTCCTTCATCTAGCTTCCCACTCCTAATCGTCATCTCAATCATTTCTCCTGTCGCGACCGCATCAGCAAAGTTCCTAGATAAATTTCTTATGAGGTGGCCAAAGAATGGGGCTTTCATACTGTTCACGAAAAGCATATTAGTTTCTTATTCCTCGAGCGGTGGATGAACTTGCACAGCTACATCTCTCCACCTTTGGGCATATTGCCTGAAGCTTTCGTTGGACCTCTTTTCCATGCTCTGTAACTGGATTCAATTCACCCTAATCAAAGATTGGTGACGACTCCGCGAACCACGTTTTTATCACAAATTTATCACACCAAATAAAATAAAATTCAAAAATAGAATAAAAATATATCTAAATTGATTGTAAAAGATTGTCCCTTAATTCAGGCTCACAATCAAATCGCAAACATGAGATCACCGAATATCAAAAAAATCAACTACCCTTTAACATTTCAAAGTTATATATCTTTGACAAGTATCAAAATTGATAGGTTGGCTTCAAGTTGGCTTTAAGTTGGCTTTCTTATTTTCTAAGGTTTCAGCCATTGAGATATTTGTTTATATGCCCTTGTGAACCTTGTGACATGCCCTTCTTTTTCGGCTTGGCATATTAAGTGGAAGCAGACAAAAGGAAGCAACTAGCATATTCGATCGCTAGACATTTTGGAACACTTGTATTTCAGTTCTCTGAAATCTTCCATTTGTTCAAGCTTTGTAGACTCCTCTAACAAAGGCAGTGCAGAAATATCGGTCTAAAAATGAAATTCCTGAGTACTTGTGTGAAATTAACTATAACAAGTGTTCTTTGATTCCCTTAGTCCATCTTTATCGAAACTCGATATTTAGAAAATTGGATTTAATTTGCCATTGTTTGGCTTTATTGTATAAATATATTTTATAATTGCCTTTGTTTGGCTAGCTAAAGGATTCATGTCATCACAAAGTCTTTGAATTGACAACCACATTGGAGCAAACACCGAATTGCCAAGTACCCGATCAATGTCATGG